GGAGAAGTCATTTGATGATTTTCCCCTCCCAAAAAAAAAAGCATAGATACATAGGAATATTATTATAGGAGCAGAGAAAGCGACTTTGTTTTATACTGTGTAGTGATTATCTAATGAATACAGAACAAACCAAGAAACATTTTCATCAGTAGTAACTTTTCACGGAGCTCCAACTCACGTTCGGTCGAACTGTGCCGACTGGGAGGTGTATGTTAAATTAGCATAGTTCGACGGCCCACCGCGGCCAGACCTGTAATGAGAATTTACTGCTTCACGGATGCCCCCGACGCATTTAGATATTCGGGCACGTTCCCGTAATATGTTAGACAGTCAGACAATAAGTTAGTCCACGCTTGAGAACAACTTATGTGAATAACTTGGTTAAGTTAGTAAACCCCTTTTTGTGTTAATGTGTTTCTTACTCACATGTTCGGGACTGAAGGATGATAATATTACTTGTTATATTTTTTTTCTTAAAGCTTGTTTGTTTGTTTTTTTATGTGTAAGGTCGGCAAACGAGCTAACGTATTACCTGATGGAAAGCAATCAGAGCCGCCCATGGACACCCGTAACAACGGAGGAGTTACGAGCGCGTTGCCGACCTATTGAGAATGAGCGATTTAGAGATTTTGGGATTGGGGAGGGGAAACATTGGGCCTCCGGTAACCTCACTCATGCGGCGAATCACAGCGCTGTCGTTGTTTCACGCCCGTTTTCTGTGAGGCCGTGCTAACACTCCGGTCGAGCCCCATTCGTGCCGAAGCATGGCTCTCCCACACTTGTTTACTGATAAACTAATCACGTTTGTCATGTAAAAGTAAGATGTTTTATTAATACTTGCATAGGTGTAGGTTGGGACATGGCAATCATTTAAAATACGGTTTGTTGTGATGTTTTTTTTAATTGGTACAATTTTATCAATACAATACCATATTGGATTTCTTTTGTGACGTGATATTTTTTCCACAAAATACATCTATCAAAGATTGTTCCGGTTTCCGGCGCCAAAAAGAGTAATAAAATTTTATCCAATTTCAACTGTCGATCCGCCAATTAGTCATTGTATGAATATTTCGAATATCGAATGTAGGTATTTTGTATAAAAGCCTTGTTTCTGTCAAATAAATAGGGCACTTTATTTAAAGGGCATTAATTAAAATATCTGCACGACTACTGTTAGGTACCTACCTATAGTATTTAATGCTGAACGAAATCCCACTCTATTTTTCAAAACAACTTCAGATATAAGTGCGGACTACTGAGAAAAACTATGCAAAAACCGGGTAAACGCTTTTCCTTTATTTGTAACCCTGTTTAAACTTGTCAAAGTCGCACTTGACTTGCAGATTAGGTGTTCGCAGTTTTTGTGACCAAAGCGTAAACAGTAAACACTACTGAATTTAATAATGCAAGAAGGAAATACATTGAGGTGCTCGTAACCAGGGCTTCACTTCAGTTTTACAACGCTTCTTTATAGGGGTTAAGGAAGGTCCAAGTACTAAACCCGGTTAGCAAGGCTGAGAGTGATACGCCTTGAAATTGGTGAGTACCTCCACATAAGTAGGCATAGATAGGAAGCCGATATTATCTTCGTTTTACTTTCGCGTTTACCTCCATCAACCTTCGTCCAACCCTACGTGCTCCCCTACGCTTATCGGCCGGCAATTTGACTGCACCCTTGTGTTACAAAAATTGAGGAACCGATATCTTACGGCCGCGTTAGGGTTTACACTTTGTAATGGAGTACTCCCGTAAATTCGATCCCGAAAGCGTTCCATTTGGGGAAGGCGTGATAGATAGGTATTAGGGGTGGTTTAGATACTGGGCTTTGAGGTATTGGACAGCATGTATAAGTGGCTTGAATAAACAAATGTCTAGGGGAGATGGGTGAATAACAAATAGCTTGGTAATTGTTTTGTTGTGTTTTGCGGGGAAAACTCCATTAAAATAATGTGCGTGTGTTTTATCCATTTTTGGATGGGGATTAAGAGAGCGTGGTAAAAGGAAAATCTAAATTTTTTATGTCGGAAATGTTTTACCTTAAGCAATATTACGTTGTCGAATTAGGTATTTGGAATAAATTTTGCCTTTTTTCCCTAAAGTATTTTGAAAACCACAGGATTATTAAAATTCCACTTTTGTCGATTCGAAGTGCGTAAAATGTAGGTAAGATTTTAGATGACATTTTTGTTCCAGATTGTTCTTTGCCTTCAACATGAAATATTGTCTCGTTTATGTATGCGCATATTACTTAAGCCTTTTTTCTGGCCTTTACCCAACTATATCGAGGTCAACATTGACTTAATATCCTGAACAATCGACTAAATGCCAATATTTTGAGTAGTTTGTTCTAATCTACATATCTTGCCTACTTACTTACTGGATATTTTGCATACAATTCTTATTTAATTAGCTTACACCGTTACACCGCCGGTGTACCTACGAAAATACTTATAGCAATTCTACTTTTCGCTACTTGCTATTAAACATATTGAAACAGGTACCTATTACAATATTGTTAACACGGTGCACAACTCGACATTAATAAAGCTGTTAATAACACAAGCACAAACAAGAGAATCGTAACAAAAATGCGAAAAAGACAACCAACAATTCACAAATGCATTCACATTTAGCTAAGAAAGAACTCGAACACGGCTGTCGCGCTAATCGTCATTCGCTGGTTGACGTCGCTTAAAGACGCGTCCAATACAACAAATTCTACTGAAATACATTGACCACAACACAGAAATGCAAATACCAAAAAACTTTAGCTATTGACCCCTGGTATACGAGCGAAAAACAAAAGATAAAAGTAGAAAGAACAGCAATAAACAAGGAGTAGGTACGTAAGTCAGACGAGGTCGCGAGTAAATATGCGCATACATGTAATATGTATCAGATGACGCCCCATTAGCCTCCCGAGGGATAATGATGCGTGAACCATGAAGATACTTGGCACTTTTTACTGAAAAATTGATAAGGAATTGTGGTTAAAGCGTGCCAAGCGAGTTGTAGATTAATTGACTTACCCTTTCACGGCGTTAGGTAGCAAATTTTTGATGCAGCAACCAGTAAAAGTTTAATGACTAGTACGTCAGGATGAAGAAGATATACTTAGTGGTATCAGTTTTCTTGGCAACAGGTAATTAAACCAATACCTAGTTTTTATGTGACTGATAAGACGGCAAACGAGCAGGCGGATTACTTGATGGTAAGTAACCGGCGCGGCCGCCCATAGACATCCTTTACTCCAAAGGAGTTACGAGTGCATTGCTGGCCTTTTTTGGATAAGGGTTGCAGATATTTCAGGATTCCGAAGGGACGAGAGGTGGGGCAGGGATTGGGCCTCCTGTAACCTGACTCACACGGCGAAACAACGCTGTGGCTGTTCCACGCCGGGGTTGTTTTGTGAGACTGTGGTATCACTCCGGTCGAGCCGACCCATTCATGTTATTTTTTTTTTTATTGTATAAGTCGGCAAACGAGCAGACGGATTACCTGATGGTAAGCAATCACCCGCAACACCAAAGAGTTACGAGTGCGTTGCCGGCCTTTTGGGGATAGGGGTTGGCGATATAAGGATCAAGAAGGGATAGGGGAGGGGGAAGGATTGGGCCTCCGGTAACCTCGCTCACACGGCGAAACACAACGCTGTGGGTTGTTTCACGCCAGTATTCTGTGAGGCCGTGGTATCACTCCGGTCGAGCCGACCCATTCGTGCCGAAGCTTGGCTCTCCCACACTTGACCACTTACCATTTTAATCTATTATTTTAAACACCAAGAAGAGAGATAACACTTATTTGTTCATAGGTTACCTACATGTTGTGCCGTTCACAAAGGCCTTAGTGAAATGAAGGTGTTTTTAAAACCAGGTAAGTACATATCTACCTTACTGATACATGACCAAAAACTAGCAGCAATCTGCCTTAAAGAAGAGACGTGATATCAATGTCATATCAGATTGTCAAGTGTTTTCTCCTCAAGTGTTTAAGTGTGTATTTAGGTCCGAGTATATTTAGGAATTGGAATAGTAACGTAAGTTATGAAAGCATTCAATATTTTGGTGTATAAAGGCTAATTTACACGTTATAATTTTCTTGAAAAAGGGTATTTTTCATTTTATTTTTATTTATTTAAGGTTTTACCAATAGTTCATGTGTTGATAAGAGATAACTAGGACTTTCACAGTTGCCAATTAACCAACATTCACAAAATATGATAGAATAAGCACCTGCAAAGGTAATAAAAGTAGAGGTAGGTACAGGTGCAATTATTAAATTGAATAAAAAGGCCCGTTTACATGTTTTGACATACTTATTGTTTACTTTTATACCATGCAAGTAGAATTATATGCAACAGGCAAGAAACTTGCATCCTCGAAATGAGGCTTTATGCTAAGTCATACAGCAAATCAAGACGCTGCATAATACCTAATGTAAAATAAGGGAGTCAAGCAAACGAAAATTTGGAGAGGTCACAAGAAAACGAATACATTAAGAGTCATTTTCAATTTTTATTATATAGATACACATTTGCTTTTATAAAAATTGTCTAGTGAGACTATCTAACAATTAGTCCTAAGCAAATTCATACATTTAAAGTGCTTTATGAAATTATCACTGCTTATGTGGTTCGTAAATATATCTATCATTGGGGAGTTGGCGTAGTTACAAAGACTAGTCCAATAGCAATTACAATTTCATAAAGCATCATCCTCCGGTGGAATTAAAAATAACTTTGTTGACATTGAACCTTTCATTATTACAATATTTTATAAGTATTATAAGTATTTAAATTTACACATTTATTTACGACATTATCTTGTTTACGGAATCATAAATCAATATTGCTGATAAATTAAGTAATTATGGCATTATAACACATTATGATTTATATATATAAATGTCTACATTCGGGTGGCATGCATATGAATTGCGTGCATACATGCAAGAAATTAATCAATAAAACACCACATTTACTGCATCTGATGCAGTGCTTTCCCTTTTATTCATAATGTAGACATTTATAAAATATTTTATTTAAAATTAATGCTTCTCACATGATGTAAATAAAACATTTAATTTACCTAGATATATAAAAACAACAAGACTACATGATAGCCACCACAACGGCGTAACACACTAAATTTTCAGTTTGCAACTTTAGACTCAAGATTTGATGACAGGACTTGGCAGAGCCAAGCTCTCTTTCAGTCAAATGAAGAAACAATGGGCTTTCAAACGAAAAGTATGTCGCAGCTAGGGAAGCTTCGCAACATCATAGATGGAGACTTATTATGCATTATACATGAACTGACAATTCCATATGCAAATTTTGTATAAGATAAAAGATCACAATGTTCAATAGGAGTGATTCGGAAAGCCACCTAGCCTGAGATTATGAGCGAAACAGCGAAACGGCACCTCGTCACATCATTTATCTACCTGAAATTAAAAAACGTTGCAGTTCAGTAAAGTGGGGTTTCCCGCAAAGCAAAACCTTATAGACACCTATTCAAATAAAGTAGATGGAACGTATTTAGTTTATTTGGATACTACACTACTACTAGAAGAACAATATCTACCTTTTTGTACAGAAATAAAGCTATTTCAGGCTATATGAATAAACTCTTTTCCATTTCAATTCAAATTAATTAGAGATGTTACGCCAGACCAAAACACAGTTCTTTTAGTCTGGCTTCATAGAACCATAAAAGCAGTCTCTAATAGGAATTTATCCACATTTACAGTATAAGTTTTTAAGTAATCTTATTTCCATAGAGATTTTAAGACATTTTAAATCTTTGTCCCACACTAGGAATTTCTCCTGGTGTCATATGTGTGTTGCCCAGCCAATGTGTCAACTGTGCAGTCAAATGGAATCTTCACTGTGAAGACTTTCATATTTACCTAGCTTATTTGAAACTAAGAATGCTAGAGTGATGCCAAACCTCACGCACACTACTTTGTTAAATTAAAATTACAAAAAAATGATTAAAAACATCATTTTGTTTGTAATTTTACTTACCTCTTCTTAGGTGTTTCTTCTTTAGCCTTTTTCTCAGCTTCCCTGCGTTTAGCGGCCTCCTCCCGCTGTTGGCGGATGATGGCCAGTCGCGCGAGGTCAGCCCGCGCTTGCTCGGTCTTGCCTTCCGCGTGCAACTTCTGGTACGCCGCAGCTGCACGTTGCTTTTCTATTTCTTCTCGTTCACGCCTGTGTAATTGGTTATTAGGTTCATTAATGATGCGGAAGCAGTAAACAAAGACGTATTATTAGACTTATCACAGGTTTCAGTATGAACCATTCATTGAGCATAATACTAGACTTCTTGCTCACTATAATATATCATTTGAATCTCCACTTTGGAACAAGAACTTAGCTTTACTGACTAACATAATAATCCAATAACTAAATAAAATAATAATCCATCAGTCTATTACTGATGGATTATTATTTTATTTATACATTTAACAAGTTACCTGTGTATACTTCAGTTAGACTATTTTTTTGTCTTTGTTACTCTATTGCTTTACCAACCTTGATAATTGAGGTTTCTCTCCTTCACCTAAATTGTCCAAATTGTTCAATTTCTTGTTTTTCTTCACTACACGGTTAGGATTTTCTACTTCAATGAGGCCTGATACACCCTTTGCTTTGGATGGTCTCTGGAATTATGCAATAAAAGAATTAAGATTACCTGACATAAAAATTATTTTATGTGATCTTGGAATAATATTGGTAATGCAGTCCAAGAATTATTTCATCTTAAAGAAATTTAATAAGCCAAACAGTTACAGTTTACAGGGTTCATAGTTTATTGTTATGGTTGGTCACCAAGTTTACTAATATAAGTTTATTAGATAATATTATTACTAAATTAGATGCCCACATGGAAACACGATTGGTGGGCTCCACAGAGGTTAAAGTCTACAAAACTTGTGTTGGGCTAACTCCAAAATACTGGAGAAAGTTCAAGTGTGTTAAAATGTTTAGTAAAATAACCATATCAAATCTGTAGGCTTTCACCAACTTAAATTCAGTGGTAATAGTACTGAATAACTGTATTGTTAATAAAAACTATACTCACATCATCATCTGAATCACTCTCGTCTTCGCTCCCGGAACCAGATTTTTCTTCCTCCGACTCTTCTTCACTTGAACTTTCCTTGCCATGTTCTTTTCTCCATCTGGAAATTATCAATAAACTATTAATTAAAACAACAAATGATATTTTATTCTACCCACAATAATTAATGTAGATGATGTGAATAAGGATTTTCTAGAATGGTGTTATTTGACATTCCATCATAGGGCCAAACTGTAGCCTATTCTAATGTGTGAAAAGATGATATATAATTTCATTGTATTTTGAGCAAATATATTGTTGATTGCACTTCAGTAAGATTAACTTGTTGTTTTGTGGGAGCATTTACAAACATATAAAATATTTCTGAATGCTTGTACTCATGCCTTTCTTTTCTGTGTATGGAAAAGTCTTTGCAGCAGCGGGACAAACACAGATTGATGTTCTATGAACCCCAAATAAGGTAACATTGCCATGCCCAATAAAATTCAAAGTTGATTATTAAAATGTTTTATAAAATAGTGCTGTAGTGCTAGTGACTCCTTAGTACCGCTCACTCTAACATTTACATTGAGTCATACAATTTAAAGATGACTTCATCTTAACTAAATATAGAATAAGAGATTCGCAGATTCAAGAGACACAAAAAGAATATTATTCAGGGCACAAACAAATTCTTTTGTGAATTTATACAAAGATCTGGTTGTGGTACACTTTGTAAGAAGGTTGGTGTGGATCAGAGAAAAAACTTAAAGGTTTTAGACTAAAATGTAAATAGAAAAGCGGGGCACTAATGTGAAAGCAAGTCTTGTTCTAACAAGAGTTTCTTTAGAGAACACTAAGACATAAAAATATTTCAAGAATTTTGGCAAGGTAAACATAAATAATGGGAAGTGTATACTAGACATACAAATGATTACACACACTTAAATATTCCAATAAGCAGCCAGTAAGAAACTGTTTTAAACATACCCTACTTATGTTAGATTATAATTATGTGTAGTAACAATGTATGTGGCAGTAACAATGCAGTATTTATTTAAAAGGTACCTAGTCTGTTCTGCCAACAATTTAATCAGAGAAATGAAATCATAATCAATTATCAAACATAAACATGTTACTGAACTAGGCAAGTTATCCTTTACCTACATACGCAGTGGCGTCGAATGTAAAACTGTTCTAAATAGAATCATAGACAATAATTAAAAAATCATGATTAATGAATACGCTACTTACTTCTGCTTCTGTTCTTCTTGTTTCCGCTGTTCTTCAAGCTCTTCTGGGCTCGTAAACTTGCGGTTACGGCCCTTGTGATTCGTGAACTTACCTGTAACATGTCACACAAACAAACTAATCACTACAAAGGTTAGGCCAACGAAACAATCAATAACATCCAATTAGATTTAATTAATGGGAAATTACATCTTTAGGAAATTGAATAAACTTTGCAATAATCTTTGACATTGAATTCACAATAACGATGCTACAAAATACGTAGAATTTCTGATGAAAGCACATTCTCATAACATTGGACGACATTGAGAAAAACAACACGTATACGATAGACTTACCGCGTGGCATGATTAAATTTATGTATTGCAATCTTTTTTCTGTGATCACAGGATTTATGCTTGAGTGTAGTTTTTATTCTTTGATGGAAACTAATTAGCGAAAATACTAAAAATCGGATAAATTTAGCGTTGACGTCTCGTCGGAACCGGAATTCGAAATCGAAACGTAGAATAGAGTGGTGGCTGCGTAGATTATAAAATTTAAATGCTGCCATATGAAATAAAATGATTTTAGTCGATTTTACGCACTTTTTCAATATGAGTTCCCAATAATTATTGTTTTTTTGTGTCTAGTGCTGATTTGGAGCTGTAATAATTTAAATAAATATTAATTTCAAAGGATAATACGGTTATCAGTGATCCGATAATTCAATGAGCAACTTCAGTCCAAAAAGGCTTGGTTCTGAGTTTCGGCTTCCGGATGTCACTGAATATGTGATTTTTAAATTTTAAATTCAGTGCTATTCCTAGAACTTTGTTCCTAGAAGTCCTAGATCCTAATGAATACCGTAAAACTGGGCGAGTAGAATTTGAGGCGTGAATAGATACACGAAAGGGGTAAATAGAAGGAAAACTGGCGAATTTTTTCTAGTATTTATTCACGCCTCTTCTGTGTCTATTCACTCCTAGAATTCTATTCACCCGGTTTTATCATAGCCTGAGACAGGTGCGTAGAAGGTTTTGTTTGTTTTTTATTAGAATCAAGGTACCTAAATATATTTTTTTTATTAATATTTTTTTACTTAGGTATGCAATACAGTTTTTAAATTTTAATAAAAATATTGGTAGGTATTTAATTTAAATTGAGTTGTTAATTAAAACAACTCGAAAAATTTACACTTTGTGAGATCCACAAATTGTACATAAACAATTTTAAATACACATGGTATTTGAAATTGTATATGTTTGTAGCCGCGGCACACAACACAGGAGAATATTCTTGTGCTGTAGATTTTTTTTAAAAGGAAAAATAATGGTTTGGTATTATTGTAAGAAGGGTAGGTAGGTAACCACGATATTCATTCTAATAGATTATCTGTGTCATTGAAGTTAGAATCCTGAATAATGCTGAACTGTAAGTATTGAGGAACTAAGTAATTTACGAACGTATAGATACGCTGAAATTAATAATGTCTTTATAAGGTTTTTACGACAACTACACAAATAGAAGGCAAAAAATCTAATCATCTTTAGATATTCAGAACATCAAAGAGCCAAGTGGAAATTACAAAATGAGCCAAATCCGAAGAAAGTTACATGTTTTTGCAAACAAAATCACTTTGACGGCGTCCTGTGGGGTCAATGACACTTGTCTTTTTGTAAGTATCCGCGACAAAACCTTATCATGGTAATTTATGTGCTCCGTTTACCATCATCCGTTAAAACTGCAGCTGTTATAAACAACCTTATATAGGTCAAGTGGTACATGGTCAAGGAATTTGGGTTCATCTTTATCTTTTCTTCGATTTTTTTGGTTGTCAAACGTCTTGTGTGTGGGCTGATATATTTATTGTGACATTGAAAACTTATGGTGCAGATGGCGTTACTTACTGGTAAGGCACGGATGAAGTTGTGTTTTGGGCTTAGCTGCAGGTCAGCTCAATCACTCACTAAAACTAATGGCTTCCTAAAGTTTAAGTAAATATATAAGTACCTATGTGTTTATAGACAGTTGGAGAACAGTATTTCACGTACAAGTAAAGTTGAGGAGCTAGTTTGATGTTTAATATAATAAATTAAAATGTTAAGTGGTTAGATAAGTATGGGAGAGCGAAACTTCGACACAAAGCGGCTCGACCGGAGTGATTCTACGGCTTCCCCTAAAACTGGCGTGAAACATATAGGTACAGTGTTTCGCCTTGTGTGAGGACCAATTCCTCCCTCTCTGCCTATTCCTTCCCAATCCTTAAATAATATCCGAAACCCTTTTCCACAAAAGGCTGACAATGCACTCGTAACTCCTTTGGTATTGCGGCTATCCTTCGGCGGTGTCGATTGCTTACCACCAGGTAACCCGACACATTGTTTGGCGACCTTACCCGTAAAAAAGTGAGAGTAGTGCAAATCTAAAAATGAGTGTTGAATTTTGATTCTTGCCCGTCGGGGTAGGTGCGTTACTAGATAGTCGCTTTTGCGACCGCTAGAATATAAGTTCAAACGCCAAACATTTTAACACATCACAGTGACGATGACTACTTACAAGGTCTAAAAAAACAAAAGCATGTTAAGGACCATAATAGTCTTTATAACTATCCTCTAATAGACTGTTAAGGAAACCGATCACGATTCATTCACCTCGATATTATGAGGTTATTGCCGAGTCAAGGTTGATCGATGGTTTACTAAGTACGACACATGTTCGACACACAAACATAATGTTTTTGACGAAAATGTCAGCTGTTCTGTTGTAGCTATGACTCAGAGGACGAATACCTTACATTCGATGAAAACAACAGTTTTAGATACTCACCTACCTTTGGTCTACTGACACAAAATTGACGAGAAATTTAGCAAATATCAATCGGTATTTCTTTTAAAGAATTTGTACGCAATACGTGTTGTCTATCATTGTGTTTACTTGTCCTACTTGTAATGTGCCTCTGGTACTTATACTTACTCCAATAAAATTTGATCCCAATACCAAGTTCTTTGCATGGGTTGCCGGGGTTGTGGGACAAGCGCAGTAAGTTATAGCGGCCTCGCTGACACTCCCTCCGTCTGGAAGTCATTTGATGATTTCTCCTCGCAAACAAAGTGGTTGGTTGGTTTTGTTCTGTAGTACTGTATATACTATAAATATAAAAATGGATCGCAAAATGTGTTAGTAAGCGCATAACTCAACAACGCCTAGGCCAATTTTGCTAACTTTTTGTTGTGTTTGTTATTGTCAGGAGAAGGTTCTTATGAAAGAAAATTCTAGAAAAGTGGAGGGGAGATCTGGGAAATAGGGACACTTTGGTCGTAAGCGAGATAGTGGGACACCCATGCGAAGCAGGGGCGGGCCGCTACTATACTATACAGGTAAGCACTTTTATTCTTAGGTATTCGGTGACTTCGAGGACACGAGTTTTCTCCCTGGATGAGTGAAATACTGTTGAGTGTAAACAATCTTTAAATTTTTTGGTTTTGTATCTATAGATTTACACAGTCTGATTCTATTTTGTATTAACATACACGGATAGTGGACGAGTAGATACGAGTAGGTACCTAAAAGGCATCCATACTAATGGTCAATCCATATATTGTGGTGTATGTTTTTAGAATACATTTTTAGAGGCACTTACTCCTTCATGATCAAACAGAGCCAAAAAAAACATTTCTGTTAAACTTGAAGAGGCAGTCAAATTATATTTACTCTAGCATGTAGTTAACTTCTGCCCACGATGGCCCTATGGCCAATGATGCTATCATCAAGATGGAGCTTGAATAATAATGTTTTTTAATAATTACCGACCCGTTCGTTTCATAATGGCGTATGTTCGTCGTAAGTCATTAATGTACATCACTTGGGACATTGCATTTTATAGTTGTACCGGCCCTTACATGTAAGACATTTCGGGATTCCACTGGATAATTACATTTTTGAGTCTGCCAAACATCTTTGAGGGGACCGTTAGCTGAAGTAGTGATTTGTTTGCAGCTTGGCTTGGAGTAAGACTGACCATGTTTTTCGATCATTGGATTTTATTTTTCCTGCAATCAATGCCTTTTTAGGCAACTGTGTCGTCTGCGAAGTTTCTTTCGACTTCGACCAAAACAAATAACTTTTTTTATATTCCTAATTTAAACCAAGAAGTCTAAAACAAGACTTGTATTTTTTATATCTTATAAATATAGTATTAAAAAGTCACTTGCTCTTTCCTTATCCCCATGTAGGCTTAAATCTTTAAAACGACGCAACGGATATTGTTTCTTATGTTTTAATAGGTAGATTTATTGAGGAGGAAGGTTTATATGTATAACATCCATTAAATAGTGGAGAAATTAGTACTTACTAGCATTGCACCCGTCAAAGCCAGGGCGCGTCATTAGTTACTATATAGTTTTATAAGACCAATACCAATCTACCCTAAGCATTGAAATGACTCAAACTCGACATGAACTGACGCGGTGGCTGGGCAACCAACTACCATAGAATGTGTTGTGGTTTCGATTCCCACACGGAATAACTATTTGTGTGATCTACAAATTGTTGTTCCAGGTCTAGGTGTGATGTGTATGTGATATTGTATGTTAGCGAAATGTTAGTGAAAAGCAACATTTTTATTTTGTTTAGACAGGACAACAAAATAATGTGAAAAAGGTTTCCTCATATTTAACTAAGTCATTGAGAGTGTGGGCAAACATGCAGATATAATTATATTCACCTGATGGTAAGCATTCGGCGCGACTATGGACACCTGCATCATTGATCTATCCTATCATTAATCTCTAAAGTACCTAAGGTACCTAAGTGTTACCTATAGATCCTTGTAAAACTCAGGTAGTGGACAACGCACAAAAACCTTTAGGTGACACAAATCGCCTGTAAAATGCATCATGTAATCTATATTTATATAGCAAAAGCTGTTTAAAATATCGATTTGACCCTAAAAAGGTAACTGCATACCACGATATCAGATTCAGATAACATTAATATTATCAAACGTGAAAAATTACAGCAATTACGGAAAATAATAACGCGACTTTTGATAAAGTAAGTGGATGTTTATTTTGCCTGTGCCTGTGTTTTTGCCCGCCAAAAATATTACGCGTGATCACATAACGGTTCGCAGTACAAATGGCCATCCTTTTTTAAAGTCAGCGTATTGAGAGCCTCTATCACTTTTCGATGACTTAAGTGATTTTTAATCTTTCAAACATGACAGATCTTGCCTCCGAGGTTACGTATAAAAGCCATAAATAAATTATATATAAGTCAAACAGTTCAAATATAGTATTCTGACATTTCCATGTTTTGTTTTTAATTTATTATAATAAAATGGAGAAGCAATTTGTCAAATGATCGCATCGTAACGGGAGTCAGTAGATCCATTCACGATATACTAGTCGTTAGCCTAAATTTCGGACATATTTTTACTTAAAAATTGTGTTTTTTATCCTGATTTTTTGGAACCATGAATTTATTGTACGATAAAGCTGTTAACACTAAATCCTTAGTGACTTATGAGCTAGTA